AATTACTTCAATATGTAACATGAAACTACATTCGTTTATCCTAAGTAGCTTTAAACTTCTAACTGTTTACATCTATTTGTACTAAAATTTTATTATTTTACTGCCCTTTGAACCGTGTCTAACTACTGTTTGTGCCATTATAAGTTGTAAATCAATTGGGGAATGTGGAGCTCGTGTTATGCTTTCGATTTACATTACCCATGACCTGCTCACGTGGGTGCCTCATGAAACATTTTTATTATTTTATTATTATTATTATTTATTTTACCCAATCTAACCTTAACTAACCTAAAGAGATCCCTATTTTTACATTTTAGTTACTTTTATAATAATAAATAAATAATGAACATGAAAAACAAGAAATATAGTACTTACCAGTCTTCTTTTTTCTTTTTGCTATCAACTGTCGATGACATTTAACCCTACGTTTTTATACTAATGGTAGTAATGTAATAAATAATTTTTATTTAATTAAATAATGCACCAAAGAATATAGAATAATAACATGCAAAAAGCAGACAATTTCTCCTAACTATCACAATTTTTCTGGCTTTCTAAATATGCAACAAGAGCCATTACAAATGAATCCAAGCAAGTTGTTATATTTCCTATGCAAATGAAGCTTGTACCTATCAGTTAAATTGAGAATTTTCTGTTCAGAAAACAATGTAATGTAATATGTCATTTGATAGATGAAAACCTTGTCTTTCTATTGGTTATAGATAATACATAATTAATCATAAGAGAGAACTAGTAACAAATCCTGAAAAAGAGGATGTGACAGGTGGGTGTGACAAGAGGGGTCTGAGTTTCTATTTGACTCTAACCAAACTAAGTTAAAGGCTACAAAAATCATGGTTTGTCTGAGCAAGGATGGGTTTATAGTGATTAATTTACATTAAATTTCATACTTATTGGAAGGGTGGTGAATAAGATAGAGAAAAGGAGAGGTCTAGAAAAAATGTCACATTTCTCACATTAGGGGAAGTTCAGGATTTTTTTAAATATTGCCTTATAAAATTAACATCTTATAACTTATATACTATTAAAATATGGATTATTAGCTATGATTTTATACTGTACAGATTAGTATAACATAAACAAAAAGTATTTTAATTATATTTTGAATGTAAGTCACTAAAACGTCATGACGTGCACAGTAAATGATGCCTGGCCAGAGAAAGTTAATACATTGAAAGACATTTGGGTAACATCACTAAATTAGCAACTGAATTGTGTGATAATGTTAAATTCTAGACAAGAAAGAGTTATGTTACTTTGAAACTTTATGCTTTGGATTTGTACTCTGATACTGTTATTAAAAATGAACTTTTCTTAATCTAACTTATAAATTGCTTTCAGTTTTTACCTTTCATCAAAAATTGTTACGTGTTATGAGCAAGTGGTATTAATTAGCTAAGTCGATAATATAGTATGACATCCAATATCTTTAGGCAAAGGTACATTGATGTATTTTTTTTATAACCTTTTTTTCTATATAAAAGAAGTTTAGAAGCTTTTTAACTAGATTTTAGCACTCATTTTTAGCAACAAAATTGAATAGGAATGAAGCATAAATACTTATATCCAAATTTTTGACACTTTGGTTGAATAGAACCCATATATTTAAAAAGTATCTTTATGAAGTGAAGAATCACTTGCATGAATCTCATTTTTTGCAAATTATTTATTTCTAGAGTTTACTCAAAAATTAGTATATTATAAGCAACATTGTTATTAAACACTTGAACTGAAATATGATTGGTATTTTTTGTATTATGATGCATTTAAAAGTTGTTTATAGAATAACTTGAGAAGTGTATCAGCAAGTAAAGAAAGGTTGAATATCCACAATAATGTAATTAAGGTGATTTTGTAGGGCTGTTTTAAATTTTACTCCTTGGTAAGCTATCCTCACCTTCCACTTATTATTTAAAGTTTTCTGTATACTTCTAGAACTGTGTGTGGAACACCCAATTACATTGCTCCTGAAGTTCTCAGCATGGAGGGGCATGGTAAGGAATCAGATGTCTGGGCAATGGGCTGTATTATGTAAGTTCTAATTTATAAATATTCTTTGTTTTTATTACTAAATCTTTTTCTTTCCTGCTTCTTGGCCAGCCATGGTCTAGTGGTTAGTGTGCAAGGCTGTGAATTTGAAGGTGTAGTATATGACTTGTGGAGTGTTGCTGAACATGCTCAGTGCTTTCAGCTGTTTGTGGGGGTGTTATAACTGATAGTCAATCCCTAGTTTTAGATGGTATTGATTATCTCTCTAGTCAGCAGTCTTAAACCTAGCCCTTAGCTAAAGCTCAAGCTCTTTAATTCTCTACATAAACTTGTAGTTTTTTGTAATTCAGCAGAAATATGAATAGGAATTAATCCTTTCCAGATTAGTGAATGTTCAGATCACTATGGGTGCACGTTACAAGTTAGCTTTCAAAATTCAGTTAACAGTATAATTTTATTTATTTTTTAACAATTTTACATGCAAATATATTACAGAATTGATATTTTAGCATTATGTAATGTAACAATGTATTTAATAAAAAATGAAAAAAAAGGTATATGCAATCATTTCTGTTATAAATTGATATCAGAATGTAACCATTAAGTTTCTTTATTTAAAAAAAAAACTTGTTGGTGTCTAAGCTTATATTTATTTCTCCAGTTAGATTTAAACATTTGGGTTAGTTTGTTTATTTTATGTTTCTATGCCTTTTGTTTGTCTAACTGTTAAATTATTGGTTAAACCTACATTTATTTCATAGCCCAGAGGGACATAGATATCTGACTGGCTCTCAGCTTTGAAAAGAGAGAAAGCATAAAGCCATTCATTGTCAGAAAGAGTGTTGATAAACTCTAATGCTGTGTAATCTAAATTCAAATAGTACTGTATGTAAATTAGTTATGTCTTTAGAAATTGGAGATTGAATGTAATTGAGGATAATGCAGACTTTTGAAATATCCTAATTAATTAAAAGCTTGGGATTTTTTTTTAGAGTTTTCTGTTAAAGTTTGTGTCTTATAAAGGTTAAGTATATTATATTCAAATAATTTTGGAGCCTCATCACTTTTTTATAGTCCACATTTCCACATCTGTTCATGCTTTGTGTGATGATCATGCATTTTCACTATAGCCCTGTAGTGTATTTCCATTGCAAAATGTTCTATCATAAGGCTGTCATCTGTGTATGGTTTCTCAGCATCTGTTTAAACAGCCTGATTACACAGAAAGCCATTGGCCCTGTATTGAGCAGCTTTATAAGTTTGTCTTCTTATGAAATAGCATTATTCCTTTTCTTTTTCTCTTGCTGTTTAAGTTATTGCATTAGTTGAATGAGAAGTATGACGTAAAGCCTTTCTTGGTGAATCCATATCCTGTTGGCTTTGTTTCCAACTGGAGATCCTTCTTGATTATGTTGCATACTGTTGCCTGGGGCATGAGAGTGACTTTTGCTATTGACCTTTATGTTTGTTCATTCTCACCTAGAACAAGATATTGAACACTTCTTACCATGGCAAGGTGTGACTGGTTACAGGTTTATTCCTGAATGGTCTTAGTATTCCAAGCTGATTTATATTCTAAAACTTCAATCTAAACACATTTTGAAAATCTGATTGTATGAATATTTGTTCAGGAATAGCTGTTATATACCTTTCCCAAAAGCAATAAATTTTTGATGACATCACACTACCTAAAAACCCAAACAAAGTCAAAAAGACAAATTCACTTACTTCTAAGAATTTTCCTGGCTTTTTAACTATGCAACAAGAGCCGTTACAAATTCATCCAAGATAGTCGTTAACTTTCCCGTGGGAATGATGTTGCTACTCTGATTGAAATTGACAGTTATCTGTTCAGAACACAACAATTTTTTCAAACCCGTTCCAATGGCTGTAGTTTCGCAAGATAGTAGATAGAGACAGTGGGAATCTCGTTAATTAAACAATACGCCATTTGATAGATGAAAACCTTGATTTTCTATTGGTTATAGGTAATATATAATGAAACGTAAGAGAGAACTATCGACGAATTGTGAAAGAGAGAATGTGACAGGTGGGTGTGGCAGGAGGGGTTTGATTTTCTATTTGATAGCTCTGTAACCAAACAAAATTGAAGGCTATAAAAAATTATGGTCTGTTTGAGCAATAACTATTTTACAGAGAGTATTTTACATTAAATTTCGTACATTTTTGAGGGGTGATGGATAAAATAGGGATGATGACATGCTA